TTCAGCCCAAACGCAAATCCCTTTTGACGAGGACCACGAAGTTCACAATTTCCCTAAATTACCCTTGCCCTTTAAACTGGCTTTTCTAATGGCCATAGGTGACTTTTGCTTTAGCCACTGTTGCTGCTTTTCTGTGACTTAGCTGCATAAGAAACCAAAACAAGCAGTTTATTTCGAGAGTATATGCGAGTTCTTGTGGTTAAAACTATCAGCTAGCCTGACTGGACCTGCAAATATTTCTTATCTTTTTCTTATAATTCTAAACCTTATTGCATTTTTTAGTATTGGTTCCTAAAAATGTATGCTACCTGAAAAAAACATTTTTAATTGCCTTTCTTATAATTCTTCCTTTTTCTTCTTTATACCATTATTGCTTTTTTTGCATTTCCTAATATGGTTGTATATGATACTTCTAACCTTGATAACATTAGGCCACATTTTGTGTCTGGATCAAGGCTTCCCCCACTCCCCTTCCTCTTCTGCTGCTGCTGCTGCTACTTCTCCAAGAACAACAGTTCTCAACCTGTGGGTCGGAACCCCCTTGAGGGTCGAACAACCCTTTCACAGAAGTCACCTAAGACCATCAGAAAACACATATTTTTGAAAAAATACGGAAAACATAAAATAATGTTATGGTTGGGGGTCACCACAACATGAGGAACTGTATTAAAGGGTCGCAGCATTAGGAAGGTTGAGACCCACTGTCCAAGAAAAAGCATAACCTCATTAGAGGGAGGAGGTTTCAGGGGCATTTAATTGGAGATTGAGCCTTTGTACAAGCCCCCTAACACAAGGGATTGTGCAAAATGTGACAGCTGTTAATAGGACCAGCCAAAATCACTCGGCCGATTCTCATGGTTAAAGCAGCATGGTTTAATTGGTTCTCCATAAGGGTTTCCCTTTCCCTCCTTGGTGCCATAGTATCTAAAGAAGAACATCTGGATTCAGTTTTTTTCTCTATAGCACTAACCTTGTGAACTCTCAAGCTTGCCTCTTTCTGCTATGTATTCACAATAAAGGAATGGTTAATAAAGATGACAGAAGTGGTGATGGTGGCCAATTTTTCTCGTGAGAAAAGTCACTGAAGAAATTCACTATAAATGGAAGCCCTTTCTGACCTTTTCACAGGAGATGGAGAAAAAAAGAATATTGTTTTTATTCCTCTTTATTGGGGCA